AAGGAAGAAAAAGTACAGACTCGAAATTGACGAGGTTTATAACGTGAGGTGAGGTCAATCGCGACTTGATAAGCGTTTTACGATTACACGGGCGAAAAAAAAAGAAAGAGGAATCTGCCATTACGAGGTCGAGAAGATTATTGGTGGTTTCGAGTTGTTTTCTGCGGTACATATATATATATATACGGACAACAGAAATAAATGACATCACGTGGACACTCGGATCGCGTCCAATTTCTATTCGATTCGATAGATATATACGGCGATAACGAAATTTTGATTCTCAGTTTCTTCAGCTGCAAGGCACGATGTTCGAACGTTATTTATTTCAGAGAGGAACTTTACGATTTTCGATGTCGTTTTGGACGACGTCGTTCTCGCTATTTCTTTGTAAACGACTAGATCTATGTAAAACCTTACTGTTTAGATAGATAATAATGATCAGAGAGGCGTACAATTTTAATTAGATTTAAAGAAATCGGGTATCGTATCGTACAGTCGAGTACTCGTGGTGGTCGTTACATCCCTTCCAAAAAAAAAAAAAGAAAAAAAAGCGGGAAGAGACCGATTGGCGTATATTTGATATCCGCGGCTTGCGAAATATTATATCGATATATTTATTTTAATTCTATATATGCAATGCGTTGGCTGTGTATACGATTGTACTTTTTGTTACGGGTTATACTGTGTCGACCCTGAGTTGATTGGCTTTCGATATCTAAATATCGTAACCGTAGATTTAATCATGCTCGCCTCTAAGTTACAGTAATTACGCTTCTTTCGTTTCGTTTCCTTTTCATCTTCTTTCTTCTTCTTTTTCTTTTCCCCTTTTGCTTTATAGTCATATTCTTTTGTTCGTCGTTACCTTAACTCGTTATCTATTTATAAATACTTCTATAAATCCCCTCCCTCTCAACTTCGATTATACGTATATATATTTTTATATGTGTATAAAATATTGACTAGTATGATCGCGAAAAAACGGAACCATCGATATACGATTAAGCGGTATCGACGATTCTCGAACGTCGAGGTGGCGTCGCGTATTCTTTCTTGTCTATATCTTGTGTCGCTCGTAATTCCTGGACTTGAGCAAAAAAGAAAAATTGGGATTACGAGAATAAGAACGAAACAAAGGAGATTGTTGCTCTTAAATGATGATGATTAAACATCGACGTACGTTTTCCTCGAAGATCGGTCGCGTTTAAAATAGGAACTTTTTTGATCACCCGTTCAGGTCGGCTATACGATTATACTATATGTACAATAAAAAACGTTCCCGAATTGGAACAGTATATAACAACGTGGCTTTCAAACGCGTTATTCCGTTTTATCATTCTGTCATCTTAACGGGATCCAAAAAATATATATATTATATATATATATATATATGTGTGTGTGTGTATGTTTGCAATATACGTCGTTTTTTTAAAAAAAGAATCATCGAACAAGCAAGAGGAAACGAAATATATGCGATTAATTTTTTCTCGTTCACCGCGCGAAGAAAAGCGGAAGGATGAAAGGATCGTTTGACAAATATCCAGGAACTATTCGAATTGTTTACATATATATATATATATATATATATACATATATTAAAATGGAACCTTGGACGAGCCACGTATATGAAAAATATATAAACTTTCCCTAACTATTTCCTTACATTTTACATAGGAACTGATAACACGTGCTCAAATCGCAGACTTAGAAACGAATGGCAATATCGAAGATTGTAAACGTGAATAAGGAAGAAGGAAGAGTTTCAAGCTGGGCTTAGGGTGAAGGATGCGGTGAGCGCGTTGTTAATTCGCGATTTAACGGGCAAATAGACCAAAGCCGGCGCGAATCGTTTCTCCGAGCTTGACTCCTCGCCTGCCTGCATCGTGTCCCGCTCCTCGATCAGAAACGGTTGCATGATCGTCTTCTCGGGATTCGAGTTCATGTCCTGGGGCATCGCGTAACAAGCCGGCACCTTGTGCCTGTTCGCAACGTCCTTCAAAGTTCTGCTAAGCTCGGCTAGCACGCTGTCCGTCGGGTCGCCGATCGTTTTGTGATCCTTCCTCACGTGCCTCTTTATCCTGTTCAAATTGGTGGTCGCGTATCCGCACTGCGCGCACTTGTACACACCCTGAGGAGTGACCTGGACCGCCGTTTCGTCCTGCCGTTTGTTCCTCGTCGGATCGGGAATGTTTTGATTCACCACCACTTGCGGGCTGTTCCCCTACGCTCCTCCTTCCCCTCCAAATCGAATCTCTCTTTGCTCTCGTTCATCGATTTCTCCGCGTTCTCCGCGAGATTTAAATTATTAAACAGGGGGGGTTGAAAATGCGGGAACAACGCAGGGAATTGGTGGGACGCGAGTAGATGTTGATGCAACGACTCCGGCTGATGAAACGGTTGGGAACAGATCGGACATTGAAGCGAGGATTTCTCCCCCTCCGTGTTGTCGCGGCCGCTCGCGTGAGATCTCTCGTGAAGGAAGAGGAACGGTAACACGGTGGTTGTGAAATTGCAATAGGAACAGCGGTAACTCTTCGATTGTTGATCGTCGGAGGATGATCCTCCCAGGAGATTGGACAACACTTGATTACCCAAACCCGTGTAATCGGCGGCTGGCTTGATCTGCTGCGAGATTTCGAACCCGTTCGGTATCTTTAAATTCGAGCCGATCGGTTGATGACCGATCTTCGACATCGTGTTCACGTTCGCCCTGCTCCCCGATTTAGGGCTCGTTTGATACTGTTGCTCCATTTCGCGCCATTTCTCCATACCCGTCTTCCCGTGATCGCCCATCAGATGAGCCTTCAGCCACTTTATACTGCGGAACCTTCTGCTGCAGATCGGGCAAACCTCCGTGAAATGGGTGAAGTATCTGTGGGTCAGATCGCCCAGTTGTTCCGGTTTCAATGCACCGTCGTCCGCGTTCCCCGTTTCATGGCTCTCCTGTTTCACCGTGCTCGCCGTCGTATTTTCGTCCACTATCCCATGCGTGTTGTGCTTGTGAACGCGCAAAAAGTACTTGCTGCACAGCTCTTTGTTACAAATGTTGCATATCACGCCACCTATCTGTGCCCCGTTCTCGATCTCGATACCGTGCATCCTCTGCATGTGCGTCTTCATGAAGTACTTGTTGCACAATTCCTTGTTGCATATCTCGCAATAGCTTGACGTAGGCGTCATCGATGTCACTTTCCTCTCGGCCGAGGGTGGCTGACTCGTCGTCGAGTTCGTGATCGTCGTCGCGAGTGTTGTTTGCTGCGAATGGACGCCACCACTCGACGAGATCGTGGCCGGTTGTTGATGCTCCTCGGCCACGTGTTTCCTCAGGCTGTCCTGGCTCGGGTACTCCTTGCCGCATACGGTGGAAAACGTGGCTGTTAACGGCGACTTTTCTTGCGGCGTGGACGACGTCGAATCTTCGCCAATGGCGGCGTGCTCCGTTATCGTATGAATATGCAAACCCGCTCTCGACTCGCATTCTTTCCCGCACACGTTGCACGACAATCCTTTGCCAGACTTGAGCCCGTTCAGTTGCAAGAGCATGGTCTGCAATTTTTGAAGATCCTCGGAGATGGAATCGTTCCGTTGGTCGGCCATCGTATCCAGCTCGCACTCTTGCCGACCGAGGGGCGACTCCTGCCCCTCGTGCATTTTCCTGCAATGCGCCCGATACAGGTCGATCGTTTGGAAACGTATCCCGCAAGCTTTGCACTCGTAATCGTCCCCGGCACGCTCGTTCGACTCCGCGCTCCCGCCCACCGTGTTGTTCTCCGCCACGATTAAATTCAACGGGCTGGTCTGCACTTGATGCCAACTCGGCGGCGTCGTCGTCATCGTCCCCGGATTATTCCCGGGCGATCTTTCGTTGTCCTGCACGACGATACCGTGCCTCTTCATCTTGTGCGTGCGCAGGAAATACTTGTTGCAATACTCCTTGCAGCATATCTCGCAGAACGCGTCCGGATTTATGACCCCTAAACGACGAAGCCGATCGGCGCTGAACCCGGAGTCGCGCGCTTGTTGAATCGATTGAGGGGACAGATGCCTGGGCGCCGGGACGAACGTCGCGTCTTCCTGCTCGATCCCGTACTCTTGCCTCAACAACGTCTCCATGCTGTCTCTCGATGCCTCTCCCCCCCTCTCCTCCTCGTTTTGCAACAAACCGATCTGCGCCTCGCAGATCTGCGATTGATCCGCGATTGACTCGGCGTGAATCTTCTGCTTGTGTTTACGCATCGTTTCCTCGTTCTTGAAACGCTTCTGGCAAAGATCGCAAGCGACGGTGGGCGCGGGCGGGGTCGCGGCGAGTTCCAATTTGACCGCGTTGAAGTTGGCAACGGGGGGGAACAGGGATCCGGGATTGGCAGCGTTGTCCACGTTGCTCGGTCCCGGTGAATCGGCGTAGATGCCATGCTTGTTCGCCTTGTGCGTCTTGAGGAAATACTTGTTGCAGAATTCTTGTTGCACAGATCGCAGTACGCGTCCGGGTTGAAGATCCTGACCGGCGTCGGGCCTAGACCGGCCCCTCTCGCGATCGTGGCGGAATCCGGGAGAGGGAACGCGGGGACGGGCAGATACTGGGCCAAGGCGGCGGGAAAAGTGGAGAGGAGTTGCAAATGATTGGGTAACGGTGGTGGTATTTGGCCTGCGGTGCTCGGCCACGCTTCCTCGTTCTGCGATTGCACGTGTTGTTGCCCGGTGGCCAGCCAATTTATCGCGAAATTCTTTACGCTAAGCAAATTAACGGGGTTCTCCACGGATTGGTCCAGTTGATGAGACGGTTCTTGCTTGATCGCGGTACTCGGATCAGGAGATCTACTACTCGGGCATTGTTGTCGCGACATCCTATTCGCGGAACCGTGCTCATTGTCCAGGTGAACGTTCAACGTTTCCTTTCTATCGAAAAACTGGCTACAGTATTGGCAACGGAATTCGTTATTCAGGTTCTCGTCCCTTATCGACGATTGACCCGGTATGGGCGATTGCGACGACAGCTTACCTTCGCTGTCCTCGTCCTCGTCCTCGTCCTCGTTCGACTCCTCGTGGACGCCGGGCATCAACGTTGACGAGAATCGCACGGGCGTCGTTTGTTTTCGCCTCTTCTTCGGCCCCGTTGGATCCACGTCGAAACGAAGACGTTTCCTGGCGTCGCGTTCCCCGCAACTCGATCCGTCGCTGTCCAATTCCGTCAAATCCGATATCGTCGTCTCGCGCGCCATCCTCTCGCGAGGGACGAGACTCTCAGCCGTGGTCGACAGGACCGATCTTCCACCACCTTATCGATTACTCGTCGCTCTGTCGAACAGAGATCGATATCTGTTATTGCCTTTCTTTTTCCTCTCCTTCGGAATAACTCGCGATTTTTCTAACTCGAGCCGAATAACATGGTAAATCTCTTTGCCCATACGTAACGTACGGTAACGTACGTAGTAGAATGAGAAAGAATTAAGAAAGAAAACGCGAGAGATTTTTTGGATGGTTGGAAATAAATGGAAAGAATATATCGTGATGTACAGATAGACAGGGCGAAAATAGAATATCGCCATAACGAGCGATGGAAAAAGGAGTGCGTACAAGTTGACAGGGTCTTGTGCCTCGTCGAGACACCCTATACGCGAGTGGACACAGCCAGAAAAGGGAGACGTTTGGGGAACCTGGTATATGACTCATATCATACGCCCATGCTTTGGGGCTGAATTCAGAGGATAGTACGAATATGCATTTCAGAAGCTCCATAATTACTTATCGAGGTTGACAGACCCGTGCCTCCTGTCACGAAATAACGGCCAGGTCATTGAACTGTGCCAGTTTTTTCTGCTTCTATCGGCGAGTAAAGAACGAATGGAACGAGATCGAGCAAAAGATCGAGAAGTGCGGAACGCAAGGGATTAACAACTCGTTGAAATTCTTACCAATACGTGGATCGATCCGTCGTAAAAGGATCGTGCGTCAACGGAAACGTCATCGTTCGTGTCGACATCTTCCAATAAATCTACGTTTGAAACGGTAGATGAAACAACGGTTTCGAAACACCACAATTCCATCGAATATACACAACTTTATCGCGCATTCTTATCGAAAGGAAGAGATGGCGCGCACTTATTATTAACAGCACTTTCAACGCGTAGCAGCGCGTTTCACCGCGCGTTCTTAAGGTGTAACAATCGTTTCGCCACTTTTCCTTTTAAGACGTGAAGAATGTTGGAAACGCGTTATTGGCACGTGGCGTCAAGGAGGGTAGGTAAGCCGAGGGTAGGTTACCTACGAGGGATGGTGTTGGTCAAACGAGCCCTCGAAAGAACGAGCCACTCGATATAAATTTTACGATTTCCACGGAACGTCTCGAGGGGTTGAAGGGAGGAGAAAGGTATTCGAGGATATTCGTTCGATCGCGCTAAAACCGGCCGAAGGGAAGAAATTGGGCCGAAGTTGGGAGATGAGCGGGCCGAGGGAGACGAGCGATGAATTCTTGAAGGAGGGGGGGGGGGGCAAAAAAAAAAAGGTGGTACAGATGGTGGCGAGAATCCTGGAGGAAAAAGATACTTTAAAAGATGTGGAAAAGGTGTTAATCTATGGGGTGTTGGCGCGCTTACGCCTCTGTGGCCTCTCCCAAGTAACTGTTAGGTGCAGTCACCGTGCCCCATGAAGGGCCTGTCACATCGTTTTCGTCCCTACCACCTTTGGAGAGCCATCACACAAATATCCCCCACCACCGAGTTAACCAAGTATCGTTTGCCACATTCCCGGGACAGATGATCCTGTTTTTCTCCATCGATTTGATTCTGATCGAATCCCGTTCACGTCATCGACGTGAATCGATCGACGGTTTAAAGAGGCATTTCGCCTCCTATCTTAGTGTCGTTAGTTATCTCTTAATCGGTGTATTTTTATATTAATGATTCGTATTTGTGCAACAATGGAATGGATTTTATAATCATACTCTCGTGGAAATTTGAAAATGTGCACGTTGAAAAGTCGAATATTAAATCGGTTATTTTATTATTAACCGCAAATATCGTTTACTTCTTATAATCGAGAATAGTAAATATTGTAGATGCTTGTCTTTGATAACTGATCTCGAGTGTTGATTGCAAGAGCATCGATGCATACGTTGAACTTTCGAATCAAAGAGGGACGGCAGGGTCATTATTCGAAATTTGAACGGCCGCCTGTCAGCTTATAGAAATTGGATTACGCGGGGGTTGAAAAACAGAATTGGGCGGAGGGTTGCGAAGCAAAACCCGCATTTCTGCGTAACATTTGACGGATTTTCGAAAAATACGCGTAAATACGCCCGTATGGTATATACTCGCCGTTCCCCGCTATATTCTGGAAAATCCTGTGCACCGTTTCTAGCCTAAAATTGAATGACGAAAGGAATGGAGGAAGGGAGAGGGATCGAGGGGAATTTCATCCTTCTCGAAAGGGTGTCGAGAAAAACATGTTGTTAAAGAGTGGAAAGCACGACGCAGCAATAGGGGGAGAGAGGGGAAATAACTATCGCGGTTATGATACGAAAGGACAGCTTAGACGAATGAGGTATTATTGCACATGCACGCATATGCCTTTCTTCTATTTTCTTTCTATCGTTTTATAGCTCTCGTCGCGTGGGCGTATTACAGGCCAGTGAACAATATTTTAACTTGACAAAATAACGAGGCTGCGACAACATATGCCGCGTATAATGCAACCCGGGATGCGTGCCGGCCGCAGCTGACTCTTTGCCGAGTCGTGAAATGATGGCACGATAAATTATGCGTTTTCGGCGAGGGTTTGCACGATGCTAATTAATATTGAATGCGACGAATCGATATGATTCGACGAACCAACTAATACGAGATTGTCGGTCAAGATGTTCGATAGGTGGATTCGTGTTTTATATATATATATATACGTGTTTCACCTGTATACTCCGTTTCTTGGAAACGCACGTTTCTTGTGGGCAGAGGGGAGGGTGGGGGAGAAAAAAATGCAGAGGAAGATATAACGTGGAAATGTGCAAGATAAGATTATTAAACCGCTATGTTCAATGAACTTTTAAATACAAACGAGATGAAACATCGATGGAAACCGATATTTCTGGAATCGATAAGACGAGAAAAAGAGAGAGCATGAGAGAGAGAGAGGGAGGGAGGGAGAGATAAATTACAGAAGTATCGCGTCGGGTCGTTCGATCATCCCGATTCTTCAAGTGGAAAAGAAAACCTCGCGAACTTTTTGCGTTAGCCTTCGCCTGCGTAGATATAAGTATATATCTATCTCGTTCGAGCAGTGTTCCTGTGTGTGTGCGCGCGTGAGTGCGTTTATATGTGATTTCAGTAGAGGCCTATTGATCGAGCAGCGAACTTCACTGGTCCGCACACGCGCATAAGTCTGTCCGTAAACAAGACAAATATCATCGCGCCAGTACTGAAAATCTATCCACCCACCCACTCTCCTCTTTTCTTTAAACATCTAGCACGCTTCGTCTCGCCACTTCGACCTCCTTCGTAGTGATTGACGTGCAATTGCATTTTGTTGATATATATATCTATATAATATATATATATATATATATATATATATATATATACAAGCTTGCAATGGGTTGCATTCCATTTTACGAGATAAAGAAAATAATTTGTTAAAAAACGATAAATAACTTCGACCGTTTTATTAAAGAAAATCATCGATATTTATATCGCGAATATAAAATTTAATTTTTTTCCTCTGTCAAAAGAAGAATTGAAATATTAAAATATTTCATCGGTTTTAAATTGTTAAAAAGATGGTTAACGAATATCAGAAATTTTTATCCAATCGAAAAAATTAAATTCGTAACAGTTTCATTAATAAAAAGCTTGGAGAAAGCTTTTTTGAAGAAGGGTGAAAACTCGTTCACGCGATCGGGTTACATTAACCGAATGACGTGCTATACTCGTACCTGAAATGAGTATGTAAAAGGTGCGATTCGCATAAAGGTGGGGAAAGTTGGATCTGCGCAATGCGTGTCGTCAGATGAACCACGTGGAGTATTCGCATGCAAAAGACGTCGGCGGATATCGGGCGGTCTCTTAGTCTCCTTCGAATGGGCAACGGTGTAGCGTCGTTTTAGATATTCCATCTTTCCGATTCGCTGGGGTATTTTTTTTTTTATTTTATTCTATCTTTATTACGTCGTTAATCACGGTGAAGTGATTACACGCGTCACTGGAATTATTTATATTACTCGATCGGAGGAAAATTGGTCGCAAAATATCGAAGGTCGGACGTAAGAATGTGCACAAGAACGATCAATCGCACACACTGTTGCACACAAGCGAACATTATTTTTCCGTGTGTATTAAACGACGGAATCGAAGGAATGTTTATTTTTCACTTTTAACGATGCTTTTTAATCGTAGATAAGAGATCGACAATAGTGATCGGGAAAAGAATTTATTACAGTGGTCGCTTGACTCGAGATATACGATTTCAAGGAAGCTCATGTTATTTTTTTCCTTTCTTTTTTTCTTCTTCTGCTTTAAAACACTTACCGTAATCAGTAGCATCAGTTTGCCCACGTGAAAGAATCGAAAATGTTGACGATTGGCTGGTTCCTCCTTGTTGTTGTTGTTATCCATTTGTTGATTATAATAATAACGACGAATTCCTTTTTTTTTTTTTTTTTATTAAACGAGGCACGAGCTCGCGACTGATAACGGCGACGATAACGACGATAACATCACTTTATTCACTGCGCACTGAAACACGAGAAAAACAATAGGAAACATCTAAAATGATAGATGTTCTCGTTCTCGGAATCCGAAAATTAAAAAATTTTCTCAAAATTGGAGGGAGGAGGGCGGGAAGGAGGGGCGAGGAGAGGGAAAATAATAACGCTAGCGAGGAAGAATGGTAAGAAATCGACGATTGCCTACGGGTTTCTCTACTTACTATTGTTTTGGCCATCGTGCCACGATGGCGGCCATACTTGATATGAGAAAGTATCCCCCACATTGTCCACGGCCATCTACTAATTCCCCCATACACCCCCGCGCTGATTCAACCCCCCATCCCCGCTACCGTCCCCATACCCTAGCTTCTAGTCCCCCCAGTGAACTCACCCCTTACTCCCTGCCACCCTCTTTCAAAGTCAGGGGCGACGTCTTCCTAAGCTCCGTTGGTTCCTTACGTTTCTCTTCAACTTCCCATTTCTTTCCAGGAGAAAATTTAGATAATAGACAAACGTTTCTCCGTTTCGTTCTTTTATTTATTACGCGCGTTCGTATTATTTTTTTCTGTTCACGCGACAAAGTTGAAGTTAATACGAATGAGATTTACATGTTCGTAGAAATTCGTAATTTCATCGATCAACACGACACTCGAGTTATTTCTCTAAATTTCTTTATCCGATTTTCATCGATCGAGCGAAGAAATGAAAATCGCGCGAATAAGAAAGGGGTATTCGAAGGAAGGGTATCCGTCACTGAGAAAGTCTTTCTTCGTTAAGGCACTTCCTCCTCTCTCAGACTTACGCACCTGCACACACGTGCGTTAAAAAAGCCGCTCACCCACACGATCGCGTATATACCCATAGCAGACACAAACATAGCCACGCGTCTCTAAGCTATCACCGTCCTCCTCGCGACTCAGCACGAGCAGTCTTTTACCCCAGTTCACAGTCCTTCCTATACCCCTAAGGTAGGATCTGGTGAGGGTAAAGGATCCGAAAGAGAAGGGAGACGGGAAGGAAGAAGAGGGAAGAAGCCGAAGCGGAAAGAGAAAGTGAAGGAAAGCGGGAAAGGGGAGGGCGTGGGGTGGTATTTTTACTGGTCACTCGGAATTCGGTTCTCCCACTACGCGGAATCAGATGACTCTCCCTTCAACCCCTCTGAACTTTCCATCTGCCTCGACCCTGTGTCACCCCACTTCAACCTCCAGCGACTACCCTCGCGCGGCAAATTAGTTTAGCCTCACGGACAAGTCCGAACTGGTACGAGTCTTCTCTTACGAGGCTTTCCTCCCATTCTACGGGAAATGACGCGCAGAATCTCGCGAGAGACACTCGCACCTAGACACACGGACAAGATATTTTTTTCGAAAAGTACTCGGGGGAACTCGAGGATGCTTCTCTCTCCGCATCATCCTTTTCACACACCCTTTTCGCACGCCCTTCCTAAAACTTTTACTTCGTACCTTTATTTCGAAGGAACTAGATTACGATTCCTCTTCTCTTCTTCCCGCGTTGCGAGACGTACAACAGTTTTTCGTGTATCCCCATTTGTTTGGGAAACGCGAGATCTTCCTTCCTTGTTTTTGTGTTAACAACGTTTTCAACGGTTGCACTCGGATTCGTTTCGAAGAAGCGATCATAAACAGGGTTCAACAAGTGCAACGCGCCTGTATGATAATCCATTCCACGCTGCCGGGCTAGAAAATTACCATTCCGCCCATGCGAATGCGAATAATTTATAGAAACGAGAGTTGGACTCATCGTGGGGCATAAACATTCACGCGCCGCGCATCGCGTTTGACCACGCACGCTCATCCTTTTCACTTTCCACCGAAATTACTCCTGTCGGCCACGATTTGCCTTCCGCTCTCTCCCGTTTCCCTCGCAATTTAATCGCCCCTCCCCCCTCCCCGTTCCGCTCACGGCACGTGTCTAATTGCAGCGCACCTGTTCCGCGGTGATACTTTCTTCCTTTGCCGATCAAAAATCGACAGGATAGCCCGGGAGAGACGGTGAATAATTTAAAGGATAAATTAGAGCGGCTGGCCAATGGCGTTCCAAGCGTACGTTGGGGCGTTCCGGTTTGCGGTTGCACATTTGTCACGCGATTTCGGTGCGGTATTGATAATGATAATGAAGTTGCGTCCATTCGTATTCGCTGCTCCAAATTAATGATATTACGCGAGGAACTTTGTGAGACGTAGACCAATAATTTCGAATCGCATGATGCATTTCAATTGGCGGTCCGCGCCTGCTTCTGCCGGTGCTCGCTTTCCCATCCTATTCGCGATCTATTCCTGTTATTTATGGCTGTTACAGCGGGCATACCGGGTAATCGTATCGTTGCTTTTGCAACAGTGGAGAAGAAGAAGAAGAAGAAGAAGAAGAAGAAGAAAAAGAAGAAAAAAAGAAAAAAAAAGAAAAGAAGGAAAAATCCCTTTGTAAAATTCCCGTGCGTCGGAAAGTAAAGTGGCACTCGTCGATGTGGGGTCTAGATTCGGAAATGAATCGCTCTTTGTTCGATGGCGAAGGAGATTCCGGTGCAAATTATCCCGATGAAAATGAACCAGTGGTACACGTTTCTCCACGAGAGCACACATGCGTTCGTATCACGGTCAGCTTCTCTTTCACATTTTTTTTTTTTCCTTTTTTTCTTTTTTCTTTTTTTACATTCCTCCCTCTTGAATAATCGAATCACCGGTGGTAAAAAGAGCTGGCAAAAAAGAAAAAAAAAAAGGAACGAGTAGCCGTGTCACAGGGCTACGCGCCACATGGACGACCACGGATCCAACGATTCAATAATGGTCCCCCCTTTTTTTTTTCTTAGAAGGATTTCGCATAGATTGCTGTACAAAGTAACAGTCACAAGAAGAATTTATTGATAAAATTTCGATTAAAAGAATATTTGTAAGTGACGTATGTACGCTTCACGATACGATAAACGACAATGTTTCTATTTCAAATTATCTTGATTTTTTTTTTATATTGATCGCGATTTCTTCACTTTTAATTTAAATTTATAATTAAAATAACATAGGATGACACCATGATCCGAACATGAATATTTATTGCAATCTATACATAATGTTGAAATATTTTACATTGAATCTTGTTGTAAAATTTTTTTATTTAAAATTCTGTAATTTTTTTTGTATACTGGTACGATTTGAAGCGCAGATGCTTAAAATAGTTATATAGAGCCGAGTAGAGAAAAAGTGTAGTAAAAAAATTTGCTTTTCTTAGTATGGTCGTAATAAAAGGCAAACGTTCGGCATCGTGAAATATAATCACCGAAAAGCGTCCCGGATCAATTCGGCATTATTAGCTCGAGCCAAAAGAGGGTCGTCCATTACTGGACAGCTGGACAATAGCAGTATTCAACTTTTTTGTTCTCTAACTCTGGTCAGTGTTACATATAGATATGTTATGCAACCAATTTTGTTTGCAATGGATATACATTTTATTTAGATATTACATTGCGTAGATATATTAATTTCAAACAAATATTTCTTGCAAAAGGAAATAATTGTCGCCTGATTGCAAAATATTCTTTATTATATTTCTTTCCTATAGAATTTTCAGAAGAAGAACATTCATTTAGAACTTACCTTGAGAATATTAACTTTGAACTATTATTTGTTCAGAAAAGTTAAATGGAAGATAAATTGATGTAGGAATTTTTTGCGTTAATTTTCTTAATAGAGAGCTGCAAAAGTTTCTAAATAATGTTTTAAGAAATATTTACTTTTACTAGTAATTTTATTATAAATTTATATTGCACATATAAATATAATAATGATAAAGACAAATTTTAAATTATATCTGGCAGCATTTTATATTATGTCGTATGCATTATTGAGATTTAAAATTTTTATTTTAAAAATTATAAAAGAATTCAAATAGAACAAAATGGATAATAATTATGAAGACTTTGAGAAAACGCATAAAAATAAAATCAATCATTTTAATAATTCAATAAAGCAATCAAAGTTCTCACAAAAGATTGTTCCTGTATTATGATATACATTTTTATATTTGTATCATTTTTAAATTTGTATCCTCTTTATAAATAGATCTATTATCTTTGATAATTTTACATCTGAATACTATTATATACAAACGAAATATAAGACAGGATTTATTAATTCATATGATTTCGTATTTCGTGTTCTGAAATACCGATCGTGCAAAAAATTAGAGGATTTGTTATGCCCTCTACATTGTTGAGTAGTGAATTCGAGAAATATATTTTTTTCAATCAAGAGAGATAATAAAGTTAATAAAAAAAATAAGTAAATATAAACAAATTTTATTTTATTTACAAAAATAACTTAATTTTATTGATTAAAAATAAAAATTTTAAATATTTATCATATCTATCTGATATAGTTCATAAATTGATCGTGAGAAAAAAGTTTATAATATTATATATACATATTCATATATATTTTATACATATAAAAATAATTCTAACATTCAATTTTCTTGATTTATATTTTAGAAAGATTCCAGGATCTCTTTACCATATTAGTATCATTTTCAACGTTACCGATCCAGCATGGAATAAGATTGCAATATTAATAATGACTAAAAATTAAATTTTAATATTAAATTATAAATACAAAGATATTAAAATTCTTTATGCATTTTTTTCTTTTTTAATTTAGCATAAACTAAAACTTTTACTTCAAGTTTAATCATTTTTAATTAACAATTATGAATATATTGTTTTATGACTTTTCATTGTTATTATTCTTGTTATATAATTATTTTTTTTTTTGTAAATTAATTTTAAAAATACGGAAATAATATTTTAATATAGTTATATGTAAAAATTAATACAATGAAAGTATAAATGATTTTTACTATAACTTCACATTGTGAAAATATGTCAAATCACTATTAATAATTAATTTTTATTGTATTTTTAATAAATATATTTTCGTAGGATTTTAATATTATAAGAATTCATAATTAATTCATATATAATTCTTCAATTTTCGCGCGTTTAAGTAGAGGAAAGACGCTGCTTCAGCCAATTAGAAACACCTTAGACGAAT